AAAAATAGAACGAGGAAAGTTAACCTAGCTGGTAGTTCGTAGGTATCAAGGCCAACTGCAATAGCTTTGAATCAGTGGTCAAATCTTCATTTTATTTCATTCAGAAGTTAAGGTGGATTTTGTTTGTTCACAGGTAACTTAATAAAAACCATGTTCACAAAGACCTTTGCGGTTTTTCGGTATTTTATTCATGCAGTACAGTCTTCAAACTACGTACGGTTGGGATGCTCATACGGTGATAAAAACATTTTGTTATGCTTTAAAAAATCTTAAATTACCCATAGAAATAGGCCCTGTGTAGAAATATGTTTATGAAGTGGCCTGTGGTGGGTATAGCTTAATACAAATTTTTGAGAATAGTAAGTGAAACAGTAAAAAACAATTCTATAAATAAAAATAGAAAGGTATGAAATGGGTTCTTTTGTGTGTGGGTTAGAAATACGATTAAAAGGACAGCGGAGCGATGTGTCTATTTTCATGGGTTCCCGAAATAAACATAAGAGCGCTGTTTTTATCAGAATTTGTGTAAATAACGAGAATTTCGTGACGTCGTATAATTGCATGGTCTCCTATTCGATTGCATACGATCGCTGACAATTTATGCCTAAATATAAAGTACCCACTTAGATATTAACCGCAATTAGTTCAATAAGAGGCTTGTTTGTACTTATTGCTTTTTTTACACGGCATCTAACCCATTATGCCAATTGATGCATGCGTCGTCCTAATGCATGGCGTTTTTTTAGGGGGGGAAACACCGACGCTGCCAGTTTTGTCTCATGTTAAGGGGTGTCGTGTATCAAGGCTGTGCGTGGTCACAGAACGTGTTTTCTTCAAAATACCTCTCAGGATACTTGCCTTCTTATAGGTGTATTATGGAGTAGAACCGACAGCTCTAAAACGAGCTTCCAGGCACAAGTGGACAAGGATGTTCCCTAAACAGACAGGTCGGCGTATATGCATCTATGCATATATACCATGGAAGTAGGTTGCTCATCCGATCTATCTGATTATGGATCGTACTTGTTGCGATGTGCGTTGAGGCTTATCCGAGAGTGACTGCAGACAGTTTCTTTAAGGATGTTGTGGGACCGACAAAGGCTAGGGATACCGGAATAGCCATTTGTAGTTTATTAGCCATCATCAGCGAGTCCTATCCAACCCCAGGTGTGGATCCCTCGGTTTATAACCCAGAAAAGGCCATTCCGTTCTCCATAGTCCCCGTTGGATCCAGTCTATAAATATGCTGGAGGGGTGCTCACCGAACAGGTTGCTTAATATGTTCATCAGATGTGGGCTAACTATAGAGCACTTGTAAACAGCCGCATAGCAATTAATGTTTTATGAAGGAAATGAAATATCGACAACGCCGAAGGGAACCAAAATAATCGTTTCTGGTTTATTAATCGTTAACCGCCAGATATAACCCAATGTTGGTCTTGGAGGGTTGGCAATTTGAACTAGAGTCCCTTTGCAATTGAAGGCTAAGAGGAGCACTGCCATACCACTTCGTCCGTCCTATCGGAAGTAATAAATAGGGTAGACGAAGATAAACTGAGTTCATGAGTTTGCTCTGATTTGTGAGATTTAAATGCCCATAGTCTCAATCTGTTAAGGCTGGTAAAGAGACCACAAAAAATTCGTAAATTGACATTTAAATCTCAAGCATCAGAGCAAATGCATAGTTAGTGACAATCTAAAATAGCTGACATAAAAACGTGCAGCCAATAAAAATGCACGATGAACAAGCAACAGACTAGAAGGCGTTTCAATGTTTTTCCTTATTTTATTTATTACAATATTATTTTAGATTGTTTTCTTAGTCATTACACAAAAGGAAATATTGGTTGGGAGGTGGTCTAATTCAAATAACCTGTCGTCTAGCTTATCGTTCTGGAGTTAGTTTACTAAAGTCTACGGCGCTAAGGGCTGCAAACAACTTCGATTTACATGCGCAACGACGCACATTAAGCCTTAGATGCGTTTTTCCCAGCTGTTGGAACCCCTTCACGACAAAAAACATTACAACATTTGCCAATTTATTGGATTGTGATGCTGTACACTCATTGGTTTATTCATCGGCCAAGGTTTGTGCCATTTAGTTCTACCCTTTCCGGTACTATTGCTCGGAAGTTGAATATGACAAGTTGATTAAGGCTTACAAACTAGATAAGTCCCTCCCAGTTTCCTTTTCCTTTGCCAATATTATTCCTTGTATGTAAACCGCCAGAGAAGTCCATAAAAGGAAGCAACAATTTTGTTGTCCTGACCTTTTGGCAACGGACACACACACATAATCTCAAGCGAATATCGCACCGTGCCTTGAAATACTTATTATGTGTAATTTTTATATTAGGAAGCCGCTAGTAAAACGGAATTATGTCTATACTCGTACCGACAGTCTATATTAGGTGTACTGCAGCATCCAGTTTATTTCTGAATGCCTTATCAAACGCGTGACTTTAAGAAAGAAAGTGTCGACAATCTTTCCCAGGTCTTCCATTACTCCAGCCCTCCCACCCCACTTTTGTCTAAAATGAACTGACAAAAATTGAACGCAAACAGTTTTTGCAGTCTTGACGCTTTGTGGATGTCCTTCTTCTAGATCCACTCTGGCAAAAATAGCCTGCCTGGATGCTACCCTAAGAAATAAATGCCATCTCGATGCTGTCCTCCTCATCGTCAACTACTTCAAGGAGACCCTTCCGCCAGACTGTGTTTTCCAAGATCCCTCCTCGTCGTCGATGTCAAAGCCTCATTCCGTATCAGTGTCATTCCAACTACAACCGGATATAGCGACTCGAGCACAGTACGTCGACGGACTGGCTGCAGACCGCCAGTTCGAGGCCGCCGATAAGGACATCATGAGTGATTTTCCAGTGGCAAGCAGTGGCCACTTCAGAGCACATCCCTCGGCAGCCAGTGTGCAGAAGCTGACCACTTCAGGCTCCGCCATCAATGCAGGGCACTGCCTCATCATATTTTTGGTGCTGGTTGTCTTATTGAGACGTAAAACTGCTGTTTAAATGAAGGCCGCCATTTCTGACTCACCCCCATATCTTAATCCCCAGCTTAACCTGAACGGCGTCTCCACTGTTTCCCAGCCAGCCAGCCAAACAATCAGCTCTGCTTAAACAGCAGGTCCCTTAGAGAATAAACGATACTGGGCTGTGTTGAATAACCTTCCAATGACTGCCCAACTTTTGACACCGACATTGTTTTTATAAATCCAATATATTCTCTGTAAAAGAAGTACTTTCGCTGCCTTAGGACATGCGGCGTCTTTCGGACAATCCATTATCTTCTAGCCAGACAGTTTATCTCCACCATCTGAGGCTGCAGCACAGTAACCAGTATTCTGGACGTACAGTTTTTTAAAACCTCAAAAAGTCCACTAGCCGCCTAGTCTGGCTTCGTCGTTGCTTGGGACCGACCGGCTAATCTCCGTTGTATACAACTTAGGGACATTACTTCATGGCGTCTAGTTTTGAAAGTTTTTCAACCCTGAGGCAATTGAGAGCGGCAACATAGATGATATAAGGTAACTGAACACATTTTTCAAACTTGGTTTAAGCAATTAAGGTGAACAGTCAATATTTATGCTTTTTGTAGAGAAACTAGCAACTTTTGCTCCGAAACGAAGTATTTTTAGGAAGTATTGTGTTTTGTAACTTAGAAAAACTGCTGCTGAAAGTCATCCTTTGGTCGAATATTACGATGAGTATATATGATGCCGCCAGAGCCCGCAAGAAATTGTTTGAACAGATTTAAAGTATTGACATGTATATATAAAACACGGAAAGTTCAGGGCAACAGAAAATATAATGAGGAAATGGAAGATTTACTCGATAACGATCAAACTTTAATGCTTAAATAACTGTTCGAGGCATTTGAAATTAACAGAAGCATTTTCGTCAAACCTCGTCATACATTAGAAATTGTAAAATAACAAGAAATATCTTTACCGTGTAAATTGACTAAATGATAACCAGAAAAGCGCAAAACCACGCGCGAGATATTCCTTCGGAGACTGTGGATGAAAAGCTTTTACGATAATTTCGAGAATAAAACCCTGAACGGCGCCGGGTCAAGCATAAACATCAATAGTTTAGGAAGAAGGAACTTTGTCGAACACCGGAATCATGTTTTTATCGGTCTGAACATTCGGACTCCTGCAGGAGTCCATCGCTAGAAATGGGAAACAGCAACAGATGGGGTGGCTAATTGTGGCGCGTGTAAAAAACAACTAAAAATTTTGTACATGTATAAAATAAATAATTAATGGTGTGGACGCCGACTGGCCACTGCAGCTTACGTCAGTCTCTGCAAGTACGCGAGATCGGCGTGTTAAGTTGAAATATTTGCAGAAATAAAATTTTCAACGAAAACAAGCAACATTGCCAATGCAAGCGAACATGCGAGTCTCAGAAAGTAATAGAGAAGAAGACTCGATCGATGGGACAATACTATTTATCGCCTGATGTTTCGATATCAGTCGCGGATTCGTCATCAGAGACATAGTCAATGAGCAATAAGAGACAGGGTAGCACATGCACAGGAGCTTGTACTATTCATAGAATACAGTAATTGCTGCAAACATACAACGACAGTTAACCGTAATTCCCTTCTTGAGTGTTGGTGGTCTGTTGAACGGAATGCGGGCTCTGACCGGCCTGATGACCGGGCAGTCATCACGCCCGAGTCCACTACAAGTGATGGAAGGTCAGCAGGTCGGAGCTCGCATGCCCCTCAACAGACCAGTAACACTAAAGAAGGCAATTACGGTTAATTGTCGTCATAGGAAACCCCATATTTGACGCTAAGTTGACCGCCAATAGCTTCAGTGCGTTCCTATCCAGAACATTTAGTGAAAACTCGGTCGCTGCGCTTCCGACTATCTGGGCTTGGACGGGTGCCGTCCTCGAAACCATAAGTTTTACCCTCTGGGATGTGACTATAGTCATTCGTCCTTTTTTTCAATGTTGTACTTCAGGACCAGATGGCGTCCTAGTTAGCCTTTTAAAAGCTGAACTGAATTGTATCTTTCCGCCTATTTTGTGTAAGATATTTAATCTTGCTCTCGAAAGCGGAACCTTTCCTTCGTAGTAAAAGGAATCGCACATAATGCCTATTCTCAAGCATGGCTAATCGACGTCTTTTGACGACTTTAGGCCAATAAATACACTTTCCGCAACCTCAAAAACTTGGAGACCTTGATCAAAGAAAAGATGATGCGTCATTTGACACAGAACAACCTACTAAATGCAGCTCAACATGGGTTTCTCGAGAAAAGATCTTGTGACACTTGCCATCTCTCTTTGATTATGTGCTACAATCTTGAGACAGCGGTTATGCTCTATAGGCAGTCTACATTGATTTTATTAAGGCCTTTGATCATGACGATCACTGCCTCCC